TTATTCCCATGTCATCTTGATTGCTAAAATGAATGTTGATGTCTCTTAATTTCTATGTATTTTTTCTTCTTCTCCAGTCTACATCTCCTTCCTTCCTCTATCAGTATCCCAGATTTGTGTGGATCTGCCAGCTAGCTTTAAGCCTTGTAATTAGCGATATGGGATCATCCAATTGGTCTTCGAGTTTGTATTTGTTGGTATAATTTGTCCGGGTCTTGTGGTCGAGTGGTAATTAAGGAGACGTGATTGAGCGCTAACACACTTCATATTCGATCTACCTGATGCGTGAAACTAAAAACACATTGTTTTGAATACCTGCATGAATATGGATCTTTGCTTTCTACCCATTTACATACCCTAAGAAAGAACCTATGCGTGGGTTACACCTCTTTTAATAATCAGTCTGAACTACTCTATAGATCTAGAATTTAATCTGAATTATAGGGAAAAAACAAAAAGAAAATATTGAAAGAAAAATTATTTTAGTAGTAATTGACCTCTTTATATTAATTAATTTAATCTAAGTATATTATATTATTGAAACAAGGCATTAAATTTCACTTTCTCCCAAACAGACAGCATTTTTAAATGTAATGAACAAAGCATGGTTGGTTACAATATATTCATGGATTCTTGATTAAAAGTTTCATCTTCATCTTCACTTTTGAGCAAAAATGGCAGCAATGGTTACTATTGACTTTCAAAACTGTTTAGTCTTACTTCTACTTTGCATCTTCTCACTTCTGTGCTATTTTCTCTTCTTCAAGAAACCAAAGAACTCACGAGGCTATAATCTGCCTCCGAGCCCTCCTTCTCTTCCGATCATTGGTCATCTTCACCTTCTCTTTTCTACTCTAACCCACAAGTCTTTTCAGAAAATCTCCTCCAAGTATGGACCTCTTCTCCATCTCCGTCTCTTTAACGTACGTCTCATCCTAGTCTCCTCGGCCTCAGTGGCCGACGAGATCTTCAGGTTGCATGATGTGAACGTCTCCTCTCGTGATGGTTCCTCGATCGATGAGTCCCTCGTGTTTGGATCTTCCGGTTTTCTCACTGCTCCTTATGGGGATTACTGGAAGTTTATGAAGAAGCTCGTTGCCACAAAGCTTCTTCGACCACAAGCAATTGAGCAGTCACGAGGCGTCCGTGCAGAGGAACTAGAGCGGTTATATGCAAACCTTCTCGATAAAGCAAAGAAGAACGAGAGCATTGAGATTGGTAAGGAAGCGATGAAGTTCACTAACAACACCATTTGCAGAATGAGCATAGGGAGGAGTTGTTCAGAGAAGAACGGTGAGGCAGAGAGACTCAGGGAATTGGTTTTTAAGTCTTTTGCCTTAACAAAGAAGATTTTCATTGCAAACTTGTTGCATAGAGTGTTTGGAATCTCAGTCTTTAGAAAAGAGATAATGGGAGTTTCGCGCGAATGTGACGAGTTCCTGGAGGGCATTCTTGTGAAGCATGAAGAGAAACCGGAGAAGGATCAAGATAAAGACATGATGGATTTGTTATTGGAAACTTATCGAGACGAAAACGCAGAGTATAATATCAGTAGGAAACAGATCAAGTCTTTTCTTTTGGTAATTAATTGTTCTTTTATTATTTATTGAGAATATCCATATATTGAGTCGTTTTGTAGTATATTGTTATTCTGACAAAGGCAATGCAGGAGGTTTTCCTTGCAGGCACCGACACCTCGGCGCAAACAACACAATGGACCATGGCAGAGATCGTTAGCAACCCTAGCATTCTCGCCAGATTGAGAGAAGAAATCGACTCTGTTGTAGGAAAAACAAGAATGATTCAAGAATCGGATATACCGAACCTCCCTTATTTGCAAGTGGTTGTTAAGGAAGGGCTGAGAATGCACCCACCGGCGCCATTCTTGACTAGGACGTTCCGAGAAAGTTGTGAGATCAAAGGGTTCTACGTGCCAGAGGATACAGTACTTTTTGTTAATGTATATGCTTTGATGAGAGATCCTAGTACTTGGAAAGATCCTGATGAGTTTAAGCCAGAGAGGTTTCTAGCTTCTTCAAGAGCAGGAGAAGAAAACGAGGTAAGAGAGCAAGCGATGAAGTACCTTCCCTTTGGAGCCGGAAGGAGAGGTTGTCCTGGATCAAGTCTAGCTTATATTTTTCAAGGAACTATGATTGGACTGATGGTGCAATGTTTTGATTGGAAAATCGAAGGAGGGAAAGTTCACATGGAAGAAGCTGTCGCGGGAATGAATTTGACAATGGCTCATCCGCCTAAGTGCACTCCTGTTTCTCGATTCGACCCTTTTTCTTTTAATTTGCATAAGTCATAGTTGGTGACTTGTTAGTATCAAAGACGTGTTCAACTTCTTTGTCTTCTTTTTTTTTTTTTTTTTGAACATTAATTTCAACTTCTTTGTCTTTATAATGTTTGTTGTATTTGTAATCATTACAAAAATAAAACTACACTAATGAGTGTAGTGGCATGACACGGTTTCTAGGAGTCGTATATATCTCTAAGTCGGATAATGAGTGTCATCACTGAATTATTACGACCCGGTCTGATTCACTATCTAAACAATTACCCAACACTTGGAGGAATTCTTTAAAATACAATTTAAGATGTACTACATTTCAAAAGTACAATCATTGTAAAAACTATTTGAAAATTTACACTATTTTCATACTACTTATCATGAAAAAGGAAAGAATATTAAGGTTTCTTGCGTTTTTCGGTCACCAACCCAACCGTGATCGGTAGAAGTGAAATTATTATCTAATATCGATCTATTGTGAAAATTCGTATATATGGAAGAATCAAATCCAAAATGGTGATATTTTATATCCGATCGGACATCATGATTTTATAAGGTTAAGAATCTGATTTCTAATATAATATAAATACACTATATATATATATATATATATATTAGAACAAAATTTTATAAAAAAAACAAACTTATGTAAAACATTTTTAATATAAAATACAATATTTTTTTATAATATATCAGATTTTTTTCTAAATTATTACAGAAACCTAAATGTCTAATTAAATTATGTAACTATTATCACGTAAAATAAATAAATAGACACTTTATCTACTACTGTAATTATAGTTTTCTTTAATGTTTAAATACTCATATAGTTCTATGATAATTGATTATGTCATTTTTTTCCTATAATTTTATATTTTGTTAATTTTCATTTTAATTCCTGTCAATAAATTGTGATATTTTTTATGAAAAAAAAAAATATATATATATATATAAAATAATTTTATATACATTTTTTTTCCAAACTGAAAACCCAAATTCCAGAGATACAAACTACTCTACATTCGGAACATATTAAGCCTCGCAGCTTTTATACGAAACTAAAAAAAAAAGGCAAAATCTCACAAGCATCACACACGAACAACAATGCAAACTTTATTCGAAAACACCCCAGTGAAAAAAAAAAAAAAATTAAGTTGCGAGAAACGTTCCATGCAAGTGCATGGATTGCATTGGGAAGAGCCATATGAGAGCATATCTTTTAAGACTTTTATGATACACTAATGACATATCAATAACTCAATAAGTCTCTGTTATGTTCTATGATTATCTAAGTATCATACCATGTGTATCATGCATCTTTATAATACTTTTATACAATTGAATCTAAAATTAAAACTATTTTTTAAAGAAAAAAAAATCCTCTGACGATATCAATTGGATCAAAAATGCATGTATGTTTTCAACTTTGAAGATTGGGCATATCTCGTATGGGGTGTCTCAGAATCTTACCTAAGCTCCCCACTTTTACGAAACAATAAGAAGCAAAATCCATCTGTTTTGTGTGTTAAAGGCAAAAAAGTGGATTTTTTTGATGATTTATGTTTGAAGAACCCAGCGAAAATGCAGGAACTCTATTGACTACGTTCCATGTGCATCGGTTGCATTGGTAACAGCCATATCAGATCTTCTCTTTATGAATTATGATACTACATTATTGATAGATCAATTAATTAAGATCTGCTTTATTTGTTCTTTAGCACAGAAAGCATGTGTATCATGCATCTTTAAAATATTTGTATACAATCAGCGACGGACGCAGAAAATAATTATATATGGGGCACAACATACCTAAATACTTAATATAGTCAAATTAATTAAAATATATTATAATTATTGAAAATTATAACATAAATTATTTTAGTTTTGCTAACTTTTTGAAAATTTATAAAACTAAATAAATAAATAAAAAATTGGAAAAAAGAACAACAAATAACATAAAAAAAGATTGAATTTGAACTTATATGAAGAATAATTTAGCTATAATAAAAATTATAACATAAATTATTATAGTTTTCATTAATTTTTGAAAAATTATAAAACTAAATAAATAAATAAAATTAGAAAAGGAAGAACATGGAAAATGATTGAATTTAAATTTATATAAAAAATATTTTAGCTACAAAATTAACTGAGTTATCAAACTGTTAGTATTACATATATATATTATTTATAGATTTAGTATGGGGCACATGCCCCACCCACCTATAGCATAGATCGCCCCTGTATACAATTGAATTTAGTATTAAAATTAATTGTTAAAGAAACAAAAAAGATATTGTGACGATTTAGATTCGAACTTCGAAGACCTCAATAGCAGAGAAAATCTCCAGCTGGAACTCTTCCATGTGCATCGATTGCATTGGAAACAGCCATCAGATCTGATATCTTAATGAATTATGATACATTATTATTGATACACCAATGAGGATTTCGAGTACTGCTCGACAATTTTGCGAGAAACAAAATCAGCTCGATACGCACCAGTCTGAGGATGGACTGATGCTTTGGTTTGCTACTAGTAATTTCTTCTAAAACAATGAAGCACTTGTTGTAACAAAGGTTTTTTTAATTCAATAAATTTTACATGCAGTTAAAAAAAAAATGAATTAATTAGTGCTAGTAATTGACCTTCTTGATATTAATATACTCCTGAGCATGGTTGGTTATTGAAACAAGGCATTAAATATCACGTTCTTCCAAACAGACATCATTTTTAAATGTAATGAACAAAGCATGGTTGGTTACAATTCATGGATTCTTAAATTAAAAGTTTCATCTTCCTCTTCACTTTGAGCAAAAATGGCAGCAATGATTACTATTGACTTTCAAAACTGTACAATCTTACTTCTCCTTTGCATCTTCTCACTTCTGTGCTATTCTCTCTTCTTCAAGAAACCAAAGAACTCACGAGGCTATGATAATTTGCCTCCAAGCCCTCCTTCTCTTCCGATCATCGGTCATCTTCACCTTCTCCTCTCTACTCTAACCCACAAGTCTTTTCAGAAAATCTCCTCCAAGTATGGACCTCTCCTCCATCTCCGTGTCTTTAACGTTCGTCTCATTCTAGTCTCCTCGGCCTCAGTGGCCGACGAGATCTTCAGGTTGCATGATGTGAACGTCTCCTCTCGTAATGTTTCTACGATCGATGAGTCCCTCGTGTTTGGATCTTCCGGTTTTATTACGGCTCCTTATGGGGATTACTGGAAGTTTATGAAGAAGCTAGTTGCCACAAAGCTTCTTCGACCGCAAGCAATTGAGCAGTCACGAGGCGTCCGTGCAGAGGAGCTAGAGCGGTTGTATGCAAACCTGCTCAATAAAGCAAAGAAGAACGAGAGCATCGATATTGGTAAGGAAGCGATGAAGCTCACTAACAACACCATTTGCAGAATGAGCATGGGGAGGAGTTGTTCAGAGAATAACGGTGAGGCAGAGAGACTCAGGGAATTGGTTACTAAGTCGTTTGCCTTAACAAAGAAGATTTTCTTTGCAAACTTGTTGCATAGCGTGCTTGGAATCTCAGTGTTTAAAACGGAGATAATGGGAGTTTCGCGCGAATTTGATGAGTTGCTGGAGGGCATTCTTGTGAAGCATGAAGAGAAACCGGAGGAGAATCAAGGTAAGGACATGATGGATTTGTTATTGGAAGCTTACCGAGACGAAAAGGCAGAGTATAATATCACTAGGAACCATATCAAGTCTTTCCTTCTGGTAACTAAATGTTCCTTTACATCACATTATCTTGAGTCGTTGTTTGTAGTAAATTGCTATTCTGACTAAGGCAATGCAGGAGATATTCCTTGCAGGCACCGACACCTCGACGCAAACAACACAGTGGACCATGGCAGAGATCGTTAGCAACCCTAGCATTCTCGCCAAATTGAGAGAAGAAATCGACTCTGTTGTAGGAAAAACAAGAATGATTCAAGAATCGGATCTACCAAACCTCCCTTATTTGCAAGTGGTTGTTAAGGAAGGCTTAAGAATGCATCCTCCGTCGCCCTTCTTGCTTAGAACGTTCCGAGAAAGTTGTGAGATCAAAGGGTTTTACGTGCCAGAGAATACAGTACTTTTTGTTAATGCATATGCTTTGATGAGAGATCCTAATTCTTGGAAAGATCCTGATGAGTTTAAGCCAGAGAGGTTTCTAGCTTCTTCAGGACGAGGAGAAGAAAACGAGGTAAGAGAGCAAGTGATGAAGTACCTTCCTTTTGGAGCCGGAAGGAGAGGTTGTCCTGGAACAAGTCTAGGTTATATTTTTCTAGGAACTATGATTGGAATGATGGTACAATGTTTTGACTGGAAAATCGAAGGAGGGAAAGTTCACATGGAAGAAGCAGTCGCGGGAATGAATTTGGCAATGGCTCATCCGCCTAAGTGCACTCCCGTTTCTCGATTCGACCCTTTTACTATTAATTTGCATAAGTCATAGTTCGTGACTTGTGTATTAAAGACCAACTATATTCTTTGTCTTTATAATGTTTGTTGTATTTGTAACTTGTAACTTAATCAATTATCCAGATGTATTACAAAAAAAAGTGCACTATATGGCATGGCACGGTTTCACGTCGGTTTGTAGGGCTCGTATACATATAAGTCGGATAAAGAGTATAATAGTTGAATTACATGCAGAAATATTTTCAAAAAAAAAAAAAATTACATGCAGAAATACATATTACATGCAGAATAAACAAAAAGGTTTATCATTTTGAAACTTTATGGTTAATCTAAAATTTCAAAATTATGTCAGTCGTCTTACAAAATAATTTTTTGAATTTATTTATTAATATAAATGGTTTGAATAAAAGAAAACTTCTTTTGACGTATAATAATAAAAATAAATAAAAACACTTCATCTATCTCGTATCAAGAGAAATCTAATTAATGATAATGGAAGTACTACTAAGAAAAAGTTCAAAATAAAGATAATGGAAGTACTACTGTAATTATGGTTTTCTTTAATTTTTTAATTTTTTAGTACTCATATAGTTCTATTCATTGATGAAATCATTTTATTTTTCTTCTATAAGTTTTTCTTCTATAAGTTGATTTGATGTTTTGTTAAATTTCATTTTAATGTCTGTCAATAAATTGAGATATATTAGAAAGTATTAACTAATTTGATTTTTTTTTTTTTTTTTTTTTCCAAACTGAAAACCAAAATTCCAGATACACAAACTATTCTTTATTCTACATTCAAAACATTTTAAGCTCCCCACTTTTACGAAACAATTATAGGCAACAATGCAAACTTTATTGGAAGATCCATGTGCATGGATTGCATTGGGAACGAAAATCGTGTCATGTGCATGGATTGCATTGGGAACGGCCGTGACCGTGAGATCTTCTCTCTTATAATACATTAATGATTGATCAACTACTTACAATCAATTAGTTAATGATAGATCAATTAGTTACATTAATGAGTATTTTCTTTAGACAATTATCATACCATGTGTATACCATGCATCTTTAAAATACTTTTATACTTATTCTGTTTTAAAATAAGTATTATTTTGATATTTTTCAGATAAATTAAGAAAAGCATTAAAAATTCTGTTTTACCCTTTGTTCACACACAAAATAACATTCTCTTTCGAATTAATATATTAATATAATAAGGTTAAAACAGAATTTTTGTTTAGAAAATTGTATTGAAAATACAAAACGATACTCATTGTAAAATAAAAAAAAAACTCTTAAACGACACTTATTTTGAAACGGAGAAAGTACAATTCAATTTAAAATTAAAATTACTATTTTTTGTTTATCAGAAAAAAAATCCTCTCGCGATTAACCCCAATGGGATCAAAAATGCACAAAATCTCACGTGATTCCATGTGCATAATTGCATTGGAACCAGTCATCCGATCTCCTCTATTATGATACATTAATAATGGATCAATTAATTAAATTTCAAAACCATCAAGGAAAACTAGTATAATCAAATCTCCTGATTACAATTGTGTACGTACTTTTACAAAATGAAGTAAAAAACATATATTCATTTTGATAGGTGGTTGAGGTTTTTACATACAATTGTATAAATTAAAAAATTATTTAATTTTCTAAATTAAAACATTATTTGTTGTTTACCTAAACACAAATTCACCAATAAAAAAACAAGTTTCAAATATCTGAAAGCAGATAAAGTTAATTAAATTAATTTTGCATATATTTTGATCATATCATTTAATTTGAAACAAAAAAAATCTACTTAAACATCACATAAAAATGAAACAAAAAAGTAATAAAACAAAAATTGTATAAAAAAAATATATATCAGATATATTCTCTTTCACTATACAAATTAATTTTCCGCCTGAACCATTATAATGATAGATCAATTGGTTACACAACCTGTTCTGTTTTCTAAACTAGGTATATAACTCGCGCTACGCGCGAGTCTGTATTAATATTTTGATTTTTTTTTTTAGCTACTATCTTAAAAATTATTGAAAATATAATATATTTATAGAAATTTTCATTTATATAAGAGAATTTAATATATGATGTGTAATTTATCCTATTTTTATTTATAAATTTTGAAAAACTATTAGGTAATATAATAACAATGATACCTATCGAATTATCCAACTTTGACGTACATATACATTTGATTTAGAAAAATATAATCTTGCTAAGATTTTAGTATTCTTTTCTGTTTTACATAGAATTTCTATAGTTCTTTTTTTTCTTGAAGGTTTATATGTTTAAATATTTAGTTTTTTATTAAAAATCTTATTGATGTTGTGTATCACTGTATATATTGATGTTGTGTACCACTGTAGACATAATTTGTTAAATTAACTTTTAATGTTTTAATTATACCTATTAATTTTTGGTTTGATTTAAAAGCTGATGTGGACCAATTAAATAAGTTTTTTGTCCTAATCATACTTAACATTTTTTTATTTACTGAATATGCTGATGTGGACCAATCAGATCGAATTTTTTAATCCCATGTGGACGCTTTCAATGCACTATGTCATCAACTTTTATATATTATATAATTTAATTATCACATCATGCCTTTTTTAATTAATTTTACAAACTAAATTTGAAATTTGGTAAATATTAAGTAAAAATAGAGATGTCAAAACGCCAGTAGGTGTGACATATGTAACAAGATTTTCTCTTTCTCAAATATTTGGCAGTTTGCATTTTACATAACCAGAAAATTTAACTACGTTAGGAAGAGTAGACTGCATTTTAGATTGTGAGCCAATCTTGAATCTTTCAATTCCTCAACTCTAAATATTTCTTTTTTTTGGTCTAGCAACTCTAAATATTTCATTATCGATAATATCAATAATATCACGTGTCAACATCTGATCTGAGTTTATATTATTAAAGATATGGTTCTAGCTGGCCATTACTTCCCGTTCTTCGAAAGAGAAATCATTTTTTTACAGTAATGAACAAAGCATGCTTGGTCATATTTTATATATTTATTATATAAACGGCTACTTGAATATGTTCCTCTTCACTTTCAGCAAATATGGAAGCAATAATCAGTGCTGACTCTCAAAACTGCTTCATCTTTATTCTCCTATGCCTCGTCTCACTCCTCTGTTACTATCTCTTCTTCAAGAAACCAAAGGATGTCTTGAATCTGCCTCCGAGCCCTCCTTCTCTTCCAATCATCGGTCATCTTCACCTTCTCCTCTCTTCTCTATCTCACAAGTCCTTCCAGAAACTCTCCTCCAAGTATGGGCCTCTCCTCCATCTCCAGGTCTTTAATGTCCGTCTTATCCTAGTCTCCTCGGCCTCAGTGGCCGAAGAGATCTTCAGGTCTCAAGATGTGAACGTATCCTCTCGTGATGTTTATCCGGTCGATGGGTCTATCCTGTTTGGGTCTTCAGGCTTCTTCACCGCTCCTTGCGGAGATTATTGGAAGTTCATGAAGAAGATCATCGCCACTAAGCTGGTACGACCACAGGCACTGGAGCAGTCACAAGGCATTCGTGCTGAAGAGCTACAAAGGGTATATGGGAACATCCTCGACAAGGCGAGGAAGCATGAGAGCGTCGAGATCGGTAAGGAAACATTGAAGCTGATGACCAATACCTTGTGCAGGATGAGCATGGGAAGGACTTTATCAGAGGAGAACGGTGAGGCAGAGAGAGTCAGGGGCTTGGCGAAGGAATCGTTTGCCTTAGCAAAGAAGATTTTCTTGGCAGCTATATTGCGGAGACCGCTTGAGAAGTTTCGTATCCCACTCTTCAAGAAGGAGATAAAGAGTGTTTCCGACAGATTCAGTGAGCTGCTAGAGAAGATCCTTGTGGAACACAAAGAAAAACTATACGATGAGCAGCAAGGTGCGGATATGCTGGACATTATGTTGGCAGCTTTTGAAGGGGAAAACGCAGAGTATAAGCTCACTAGGGATCAAGTCAAGTCTGTTTTCGTGGTAAATGTTCCTCCCATTATGCCGATTTTATTTGAGGATCCAAATGAAATTTACTTATAAAAGTTCTACTAACATCCCTAACGTTACAAACGCTGTGTGTGCGAGTGCAGGAGCTTTTATTTGCAGCCACTGATACCTCAGTGCAAGCAACACAGTGGACAATGTCTGAGCTCATCAACAACCCTCACATCCTTAAGAAATTGAGGGAAGAAATCGATTCCGTTGTTGGGGAGACAAGATTGATTCAAGAAACAGATTTACCAAACCTCCCTTATTTGCTCGCCGTGGTTAAAGAAGGCCTGAGATATCACCCGCCTGGGGCTATCATGATAAGGAAGTTCCACAAAAAGTCTGAGATCAGAGGGTTCAGCATACCAGATGAAGCCACGCTTATTATTAATTCTTATGCTTTGATGAGAGATCCTGATTCTTGGGAAGATCCTAATGAGTTTAAACCGGAGAGGTTTCTAGGTTCTTCAAGATCAGGAAAAGAAGACGAGAAAGAGCAAGCACTTAAATACATTCCTTTTGGTTTTGGAAGGAGAGGGTGTCCTGGATCAAATCTAGCTTACATGTCTCTAGGAGCCCTAATAGGAATGATGGTGCAGTGTTTTGACTGGGAAATCAAAGGAGACAAGGTCAACATGGACGAGACTTTTGATGGAATGAACCTAACCATGGTTCATCCGCTTAAGTGCACTCCAGTTCCTCGAATCCAACCTTTTATTTAGCTTCTCTGATCTTCAGAAGTTTGCGTTTGTCTTTTGTGTTCATCATGTTGTCTTTATATTATGTTTTTCATATTTGTAAGTCCGGGCCATTTCGTTTCTTCATTTGGATGTCGAAATCAGATGTTGTTGAGTGGGAAATTCTCGTGTGTAGTGTCTGCTGTTGTATTGGTCTTTCAGTGGACGGTATCGAGGTAAAGATGGCAGAATGTTATTTTACTTTTTTTGCCACTTTTTTTCTAAGCGTTTGGAGTTTACATTTGACTTTTTTCATGGCCTATGTCCTAGCTAAACAGATTGTGTGCTTCTTCCTTTAACGTTGAAGATCGTGCCGATGTTGTTATTTTCTTTCGTTGCTATTTATGTTACAATATAAAGATTTGAAGTGGAGAATTAGAGTTTCCCAAGAGACGTCCAATACATAAAATTCAACGGCTTGAGGTTGCTTGTGAATCAAGCAAACCAATATGAGGTTGTTTGTGAATCAAGCAAAGCTGTTGTTTTGCTATGCTCAGAGCCCAATCGGTTAGAAATTTTCCAAAAAGAAAAATGACAAAAACGATGAAGGAAAAGTATGAACTTTATATATCAAACATTATTCGTAATTAAAGTAAAGAAAAGAAGATTATTCGTATAGAACTGGGAAAGCAAGACGTTACAAACAAACAAAAACCACATAAAGTACAAAGTACAAAGTACAAACAAGTACGTAAATCAACATGAAAATTTGAAACAAGTGTTCTCTTTATTAAGGAAACAACAAAATGCAATAGCCAACAACGTATTAAACCAATAAAGCATATATAGAGCAAATCTTAAATGGATATTCTTTACCATATTCCTCCATACACAGAAAAGTGTCTGGTAGGAGACTTGTTTAGATCAAGATCGGGGGGTTTATGACGGCATACTCAAGAAACTCTTGGTCATGGAGGAGCATGGACATGTCTTGCTCGAGTAAGCTTATCCATGCCTCTACACCTTCACCATCTTTTAAATCAACCAGCACGAGACACACTACGTTGACTTGACGTGAGGCGGATCCAAACCAAACCGGACGACCCCATCCGAAATCAACCTCGTAGAAAGGCTTTCTCAACCAGCTAGACATTGTGAATAAGTCCACGTCTGGTTTGATCTCTGACGCGAAATTTCCCCACACACTCAACAAGCACTCACCAAGTGTATTGCTTAGGAGATTCTCTTTAATCATCTCGTTGACTCCATCTTTGGCCTTCCTTAGTGCGGCCACGGTTTCCCGGATGTCTAAGTCGCCCTCTGCGCTTTCCTTGAGAAAGTATGCTGTTTGTAGGTTACCGATGACATCTCCTGACAAAATGGTAGACGGGATCCTAAGCCGCAAGTCCATGCCGTGAAGCAACAACGTTGACCTTGGAACCACCAAGTTAGAACGCGCGGCCTTTCTTGCACATCTCAAGACGAGCGCTGAGATAACTTCCACACGTGTAGGCACGGGGACGCTTTCGCTAGCAGCCTTACGTTTCAGCTCAGCGACCTTAGAGGACTCGAAGACAAACCTGTTCGCTGCACACTTGCTTGTTAAGCTGAAGATATCGGAATCCGTTGGTGAGGACTGTGAAGAGGTGTGAGAAGTAGGAGGAGGAGGACAAATGGTCGTTTCAGCAAACTGAACAGTATCATTCGACTTCCTTTTTGCGGTGGTGGCGGCCAAGTCCGTGGCGAAGATCAACAATGAGGCTGCATCGCAGATCCGGTGGGAGGCAGAGACGGTGACAGCCACTCCTGATCCAGATCCGAAGAAAGTGGCCTGGACACCCAACAAAGGCCACTCCTCTGGAGAATCTTCAGGGGGATTTGTTGGAGAGAATCCCTCCAGAGAATCAGTCTTGAGGTTTTTCAGGAAATCAGGGAGAAGGAGATCTGTGTGTGCCTCAGTGAAGACGGCTCCTTCGTCGTTGCACTTGATGGAGACGCCTTCGATTCGTCCAGCGAGTGGATAGAAGCGGGACAGAGTCTCGGACAGAGAGCTTTTCAGATTTGCGGAGATGATTGCCGGCGACACCGTGACGAGATCTTCGGCTTTGTAGAAAAAGACGGTCGACACGTAAACTGCGGGAACGGTGAGATCGGTGAGGGAGAGTTGAAGGCGGTCAAGAGGTGAAGGTGAAGCAGGCTTGATCACTTCTCTCCCCACCACCTCTAGCTTCACTTCCATTGTATTTGTCTTCCTTCTTCAACGGGTAAGAATGCTTCAGCTTAGAGAAAACAAATTAGTGATGCATCGCATTTATCATGGATAGACGAGACATTCACAGTTACACAATTTATAAGGGGTTACTTTGTTCCCATGCAAATTGCGTAAAGTATTATATTGGTTTTTATTATGTGAGGCTTCAACATTTAACTTTTTTATATTACTTGTTACATGTGGACACTCCATTGTATTTAAAATATTAGATGATGGGCAAGAACCCCCAAAGGAAGTTTCCTTTTGCTTCCTTTAAATCACTTATTGATGTCATTTTTAGTAATGAATGATGTAATTCTTGATTTTCAGAATCAAATGACTTAATTCTTACATGTGGATTAGTTGACTTAAAAGATAATGACAGCTTGACAGAAAAATCGATATACAGTATGTATTGATTAACCAGGTGGATTTTATAATGTTTCGTAATCGATTATTTTTTTCATTAAAATTTGCATCACATAACTTTTACAAATTACAATTGACTATTTATGAAAATCAAATGTCATAAAAATTATTTCAAATCTGAAACTCCAGACCTTGTTTATGTATGTGACTCGTGTCAGTATGATCCAAAAAATTTATGACACGTAAGGGCAAACAAATTACACATCTCTGATTTTTATTAATTTCAAGTCTAGGAATTAACAAAACATCTTTGATTATATAACTTTTTTATTTGTGGGCATGTTAAATATCTTTTTCCTCTACGCTTGTAAGTAGTATTTTTACCTCCAAATCTGATTTGAACTTGCAAGTATTATTATTAACTTCACATTCAGATTTGATCTGAAGTCAATCGGTAGAAATCCAACAGACCTGGAACTCTTGTCCTCTTAAAAGCCTTTTAAATCTAGTGTGAAACATGAAACTGCCTTGCCTTTTCTTCCTTGATCTCAAACCCCTATGTAGTTGTAGTAACACTTAAAGACTCGTTTCTAGAACCCAGAACTCGGCTGACTTCTGTTTTGCCTGAACGGTTTCGTCTTGGCTACATCTACTACGATCATCCACCCGTTAATAATCTGCACAGAGGAAGAAAAATACCGTAAGCAATGTGAATCATCAAGTCTCTTCCTCTCCTATCACATTCATGTTCAGATTTTACTTTTTAAGTAGATATATACAAAATAAACAATTCACCTTTCCATTCATCTCTTTTAGTGCAGTGCTTGCGGCTTCCTCTGCCGTGTACTCAAGAAAGGCATAGCCTTTTGATCTCTTTGAAATCTTGTCCATAATTATTTTGACTGCAGATGAAAAGTTATACTTTTGCAATTATCCATCTTTTCCCAACGTTGTTTTTCACCTGCGAATTGGATAGTAACTCAAAAGTACCTTCAACTAGTTCACCGAATCCTTCAAATGCTGCACGCAGTGTCTTCTCAGATGTGTAGAAAGACAGTCCTGAAAATTTGACAAAACCCAAGCAAAATACATGTTCTATCAGTAAAAAAGGCTTCTTCTGAAAGAACTTGCTTGTAGATTAAGAGGAAGCATTAGTTTTCCTTTAGAAACAGCTGTGGAGATTGTGTCACTTAACAGGTTCTGCTATGTAACCAAAAGCAATACATACAGTCTCAAGTGTTTCGCATACCAGTTATAAACAGCTTCTTCGTTCTAACAGGGGGAGACTCTGAATCTTCTCTTGAATCTTGTGTGCTATTATCGACTTCTGGAAAAGGAAAGACAACAACGTGAGATCATTGCACATACATATCCATCAAATCAGCTAAAGGTAAGACAACACTGTTAATATCAGTATCCAAGACAAACCTTCATAATAGTCTTTGTTTAGTGACTCAAAATTGTTATCCGGAACAACATCAAGAACACCAGGTACTCCTGCATCATTTAAACACCATTTCTTAATCTGTTAAGTTTTTAATTAAGGACGAGCATTGTTATATGGATTCCATTTTGACAAACCAGCTAACTCCTGGGCGCATTTTTCATCGAGATCACAACAAAAACCAAATTTGGACTGCCACGAAACATGATAAAGACACATCTGTGCATCCTTCTCACTGCAAATAAAGAGGTAAAAAAGATATGATGTTAAAAATCTGAAGGAGAGACAATAGCTTCCCCAAGTCAGAATCAAACAAGAAACTCACTTCCTCAAAACCTTTGATAGCAACTGAACACAATGATCAACCATCTGTGCCTTTGTGACAATCCCAACTCCTGGTTTGTCTACACGGACCATCCAGTGTTTCACTGTCCCATGATCAAACAAGGAAACACCTGTCTGCTTCCCAATGTCATAATTCTTAATCTCTGAACTGTAATCAGCTTCAGGTCTCACAGATAGAACTCCAGGTAAACCTAAGTTTCATAGACAAAACAGTCAAAACACTCAATGTGACCACCATAGAAACATAATCTGTAATTCTCTATGCTTACAAATGGCATCAAGCTAAACATATAACACTCACGAGCGAGCTGGTGTGAAGCATCTTCGTCGATATGACAACAAAACCCGAAATGGGTATCAAAGGAAGCATCATATATACTCATTTGTGCATCTTTTTCGCTGCAAACAAAAAAAAGAGCAAAATTTTGAATCACGAAACTCAGAAGAAACAAACGAAGAATAAGAAGAAGAAGAAGAAAAAAAACCCACTTGCCCAACACTTTCGAGAGAATCCGAACATAATAATCTACGATATCGGATTTAGAAGAAACCACTTGCGGAGGTTTATCCAAAATCACCATCCAATAGGTGTTTCGGGAGAGAGCAATAGAATAAGGCGGTGAGGAAATTGCAGGAGAGGAGAAGACGAGGTGTGATGGGGAAGAGATACAACTCTTCTTAAAAGTTCCAAAATTGATGTTGGGAGAAGAAGACGAAGGGAAGAATCGGTTATTGATAATGTCTAAGGAAGACTTGGAGGAAGGGAGGAAGAAGGAAGCGGAAGCAATAAGAGCTTCCATGGAAAACTCTTGTTTCACTCTTTCCTTTGTTTCTTCTCAGATAATAATCTTCTCGCATTTATTTTCGAATTAAACCGTAATTAGTTTGTTAACTTGTTATTTATTTTGTTAAGATTCTTCTATATATACTTTTACGTCAAAGTTTTGGTATTAAATGCTAGTCAAACATCTAATCTTGTGTTATGAAAAAAAAGTGAGATTAATAATTTTTATTAGTCTAACATAATTTTATAGGATTTGGTAATAAATCGAAGTAGTTTACGGAAAATTGAACTGTGCTAATTTAACCGGGTTTGTGACCTGAGTTCGCCCGGTTTACAGAAAACCAGGATCTTTTTTGTTATAACAAAAAAAAAAACCTTTGGATCTGTAAGAAAAAAATCGAAAAAACAAAACTTTCCGTCTCGAAAGAAGAGGGAGAGATGAAGAAGCCGGTCGGAGCCGAGAAGAAAAGGGTTAAACGATCATCGGGATCTGCATCCACCGCTGCTAGAGATTCCGGTTCTGATGCTCCACCTAGGGTTTGCTCTCTCTCTTCTCTCATTTTTTTCTGCTAAATCTCTTTCAGATAAAATTTGTTCTTAGGTTACCCTTCCCTTTGTTTGATCAAAATTAGGTCTCTGATAGTGAACCCGTGATTATATGATTTTCCTGAAATTTCTTGATTAATGTCTGCTAAATTGTTTATCAATGGCGCAGATATGTGTTCTTTTCCTGAATGTCTAACACTGTTTTGTTTTTGATTATTTTTTAGCACATTTTACTTTTCTGGGCAGACTGAGTTGTATTTATAATCTGTGGAATGTTTTGATTCATTTATACGGTGAAAGACTGATTTTAGGTATTGGTAATGTGAAAGGATCGTTTTTTGTTGCTTGCATTAAGTAATTGCTTTGTGGAAATGCTTATTCTGTTTTCTTCTTTTGTCGGGTTACTAGAAGCAAGCTGTGAAGAAGGATCTGTTTCAGTTGTTTGCTGAGAAAGTCAGAGACCACAAGGGATTGGAATCCAGATGGGCTGTTATGGAGCAAGCGCGAGTTGAATACTTCAGAGGAAAAGATTTCGTGAGCTTCATCAAGAATCACCCTGAGTGTAAAGAGATTCTGGAAGAAGATAAAGACCTCGACACAGAAGACATAGCCAATGTTTTGTTGGGAAAGAACCTTTTGGTCCGCTGTGATCGTGTTACAAAAACCCTTCGTCCCGGGAAGAAAAAGCTGTCTACTTGGCCAGCTCATCTGGAGATTTTCCGTGTAAGTTTTTTTGGTGGTTGTTCATATGCCAAAACTGTCATTTTCTTTTCTCTTCCCACCGCAGAATTGAAGAACACAATGTCCGTATATGACTTAAGATTTAGATCTAGAGAAAACAGCTGTTGGACATGTTGTCTTGTCTTATTTCTAGAGATACTATTCCGCAGCTTACAACACAATTGATTGAAACGTTTCACTAACAAGCCCTTTGGTTCTTGTTTGTGCCTATTTTTTTGTTTAGTAAGATATGCTTCATTAGCTCTGGATTTTTCAGATCTTTGATTTCATTCTTCTCTGTTGTAACGTTACAGGATGATCAAGCTTTCTCTGAAACTGATGCCTTTTTTGCATGGACGTTTGAGAAACGGCATCCACTCTGGCAAACACTTCTGTCCTTCTTCTGGCCTGTATTGACTCTCGCAATTTGTTTGTTTCCTGTCTACCCACACCGTTGCAAACTCATTGTTCTCTACTCATGTGCGGGCATTCTTTTGATGATTCTCTCCTTGCTGTTCGGTAAGCTCGACATATACAGTCTGCTTGATGCTGTTTTTTCTCCATTATTGGCTCTAAATCTAGTTGTTTTTTTTACCATTGAGAATTGAAAGAACAACGAATTACCACTAATTCTACTGGCTATAGACTAGGAATATTGCTTTTAACTTGGCTTATACTGAATATATGCTTTCTTGATTACCATGAATGTTGCAGTGAGAGCAGTTGCTTACGGTGCTATGTGGATTCTTTTGGGAAAGCGTGTCTGGTTCTTCCCCAACATTCTTGCAGAGGAAGCCACATTGAAGGAACTGTTCCGTTTCTGGCCAAAGAAAGACGAGGAAGAGCCGCCCAAGTGGACTTCTCGACTTTTCTACACTGTAGTGGCTGTTGTTGTTGTCATGCTGCTTAGGCGCCATGCCCCTGATGAAGCTGCTCGGGCCAGGTATATATAACTTAACCAAGGCTACATCAATAGATTCCCCATTTCAAGAGAAGATAGTTTTATTACTTTTGTTTGTAGTAGAGGCTGACTTGTGATGACTTTTTGTTCATACAGGTACCAAAGAAGGATGTCAAACATCATTGATGATGTCCTTGAGTGGTCACCAAAGCTAGCACTCTCTGGTTTGATGGAGAATCAGCCACCTGTGAACATCACTGAGGCGGCTAACAACTCCTCAGATGCAGCAGGTCCCGACCATACTGAAGAGGCAGAGGCAGAGGCCGAGGCCGAGGCCGACCTAGACGAAACTCAAGGCGAGGAGGAAGCTGAAGACTGGACCAACTCTGATACAAAAACTTAAAAATAAATATAGAAACGAAACTTCACTGTAACAATAAGCCAGCCTATGTGACTAAGACGAGGTGAGTTCTTATAAAAAAGTCTTGAAAGATTTTGTGGTATTTCATAACTCTTTTCTTTTTTGGCACACTCTGGAGTTTAGTTATATCAATCACATAGTTTTGGATTCAGAACTTCCGGTCTCGGACGAAAGCTGTATTACTTGCTGAGAAATGTTAACTTAAGATAGTTGACATACAAAAGTAGCAATGTTAGACTTATCCCAAACTGAAAAGCAAAATAGCAAAAAAAAACACACAAAAGTATTTGTACAAAACAAGAAAGAAAACTGAACCGAGAGAACTCTTCAATGGCTGCTACCAAATAAGCCAAACAAAGAGAAAAGCCAAGAATGAATTGCCGCCTTGTGAGGTCACTTGATGGCTAGACGAGCTTGAGAAGGATGGTTTGAGGAAATGCTGTTCCATTGTTGCCCTGAACAGTCTCCTTCTTCCCTTCTCTTATAAGCTGAGCTCTGCATCTCATCGGACTGATCTGTTCTACACTCATCATTCCAAGCTTCAGGTTGATCAGAGTTAGATGACGTCGGAGACTGAGTAAGACGAGAACTACTCTTTTCGCCAGCTTTATGTTGCGAAGCTTCGGCGTTTGTCTTCTTCGCAAACCGTCCTCCGGTACCCCTTGGCCTCCTCATAGCATGCTGATGCCGAGATTCGTGGAGATACGGCTGTGGAGCAGACCAAGAAAAATTGATGCATTACGCAGTGTGATGGGTTCTCACATTAAGATCAGAGCTCACAAGAAACTAACTATACTCATGGTATAACGCAATTTACCTTTCTGGATTTTATTAGCTTCTTCTCTAGCTCTGCCTTGGCCCGTGCCTGCCTTCGCCTCAGAATCGCCTGGTACTGTTTAGCATTCACGTAAACTGGTTCTTGTGCCATCTCAGGAGGCAGTGCCATTCTTGAATGCGGCATCCCACCATATGGAACATAAGCCTGATAGAGGAAGTGTGTTAGCTATCAGAAAGTCACATGGAAGAACAAATCTTGTGTCGCAAAGTTACGCATCTTCTTGTTCTTTCCAATAAACGACCACCTTAATATCAGAGTTTGTTTATTTATCAAAAGCACTTGTACAATCCTCACACCACGAACACTGTTGTTAAAGCAAATTTAAACATGCTAGCCTTCAGAGCAACAACAACCTAGTAGAATATTTTAACCTGCAATGTTCATGCCTCACAACCCAATAGCAGTAACAAATCATGGTACATGATGAAATCAAATCGTCTAAACAGAGAAAAATAGTTGGGGATTCACCAAAACATCATAAATAGTTTGGTAATAAAGTCATATACCAAGGGATGATGTCCATAAGCTCCCATCATTCCAGCATAATATGGTTCCTGGTATAGATTTGAGGATGCCCATCCCTGCATCGTTCATAACCAAAACCGAAACTATAAGCAACCGTAGCTAAAAAAAGTACCAAAAGAGTTGATATATATTAGCTATAGATCAAAGATATATTGGAAACTTACAACTGTGTGGCCAACAAGTTGAGGGTGAGGAGATCGTGTAATGCCAGGATTCATAAGCTCTTGATCTCCAGCTGCATATCAGAATACAGTAACAACACTTTGTGGTCAAAAAGAGGTTAAATCACAACTGTAGCTGCAAGCAAAAATCCGCAAATCCTAAGCACTAAGAGGAGAACAAATCAATGCACCTGATTGTGGAGAAGTTGTAACATTCTCATCTCTATTATCTGGTGGTGATTTCGACTCGTTTGATTCCCATTTGTTTTGATCTTCCAAAGGTATCGACTTGCAAGACTTATCTCCAGATTCCACAATAGAATTTGCATTGCAGGCAGCAGCAGCACGATGCCAAGGGTTTAAACTATTTATCGACGACGATGATGTATTATGATGCACATCCGAAACGATCTCGTTCCCACTGTCAGATTTTGATTGCATGTCTTCAGTTTCCTATTCAAAACCCAATTGTTAGTGATGAATTTCAATTACATAATCCAGTCAAAGCAAACAAAAATAAAAAACGCACACAGAACAACAAAAATCAATACTTTTTAGCAATCTCAGCTCTCAGAAACTCGTAGAAAGGAGTCAGTGATAAGTAGCAAGCAAAACCCAGAAACGATTGAAGATGGAATTCACATAATCGGACAGAATTTTGCAACTCTGAAGGGGAATAAGGAGAGACAGAGCAAAACCCTAGAGCAAAGGTATACGCAGCTCATGCAATCAACCACGAAATGATGAAAATTGAACATTCTTAACATACCATTCAATCGAAGAACGATGAAGACCGTCTCGGAGGCGTCTACGGTGGTTGAAGAAGACGCTTCCGCTTGGGAAGATGAACGAACGATCTGAGGAAGTTTCAGTCAGAGAAAGGAAAAAGAAAAAAAAACAATTTAATGGAATTGAATTGTATTATTTTATTTTGTTTTGATCGTCGTAGGAAGTATAAAGTTTTGTTCCGTTTTGAATCTTGGTTGCCACGTGCTGGCCACGTGAACGGCGGCAACACAAAACTTTTTGACTAATAATATTACGGATATATACATTATATAGGATAATTTCGATGTGAGTAGTTGCTCTGGGCCTAGAACTATTCAAAAGCCCCAAATTAAAGCCCATCATCTTAGCTTTTTTTTTCTTTCTCTTAACCTATTAAACTTCTGTTTTAATATAGTTTTCGAATGAACGATTAACAAGGGCCTATTAGCTCAGTTGGTTAGAGCGTCGTGCTAATAACGCGAAGGTCACAGGTTCGAAACCTGTATAGGCCAATGTTTATATTTTTTTGTATGCTTTTTAATTGTCTTTTTAAATTGAATAACAGTATTTCAACTGTTCAAAAAGAAAGATAATGAAGCATTAGTTTTTTAATCATTAAAATGGCTATTGTACGGGTTAACAATTTTGCAAAATCATTCTACTCTTATTGTACGGGTTGAAAGTTATGTGATTGATTAAATTTAGAATGGATAAAAGTTAGTGTTCTGAACAAGGTCATTCTATTTAGAAAGACTATTACAAGGTTGTTCAGTTTAGAATGATTTTAACTAATTTAGTAGAATGATTTTGCTGAACAAGATTATGCTATTTAGAAAGACTATTGCAAAATTATGTGATTGATTAAAAGTTAAAGAATCGCAAAATCTTTCTACAGTTGTACGGGTTATCAATTAAAATCAATCATCATGTTTAGTGTTCTTTGTTCTTTCTGTCAAATCTTTCTTCTTCGTCTTTCTTTAAGTAAATAAAATCAATTAGCCTTATTTAAAAAAAAAACAAAAAAAGACTTCGTAGCTTTAATTTTCTCATTTGCTCGATGGAGTTTTGTTTACAATCTTTATGTGTTGTACATTTGTAGTGAAGATCATCCTTGCTATCGTTAAAAAAGAAAAGAGAATGGTCATTTCTGCATTATTGATGATGATCAATGTGTTTTTTTAACTTTCTTTTTGTGAGAAATTATGGAAGAAAAAAAAGAGAGAGAGAAAATGATGAGAAAAGCCGCACGAGTCGCTTCATTGGATTCCCTCGGCAGATGTTATCCTCTGCCTCGACACTGCGGCCATCCCCACTAACTCTTCACATATTTCTCGTCTCTTTGCTTTTTTTAACATATCTATATTTTCTTACTAGTGAGATTTATTTAATATGCTAGTATTAAAAACTGTAACTAAAATGTGAACTTATTTTTATATTTTTAGTAGTTAACATTTTAAGCAGACAAATCAAAAATTGAGCTTACCAACCTGGTCGGATTTAATTAATGATATCATCGCCCATTCTTTTACATACCCAATAAAAAAAAGGGAATATCATAAACTACTTTTTACAAAAAGAAGAATTATTATAACAAACAAAAAGTGTGTGCATACATATGCATTTAAATATTCTTCTAAGTATTCTGAGAATGACAAATTAGCGGTATAAACATGTAAAACTAAACATGATCGGTGCTGTTTCAATGTTATTGGGACCTAATAAACTCAGTGTGATGTTCCGTGTAGAAAGTGACAGTTTCTGTCAATCAAATAGTACTGTATGATCTGTTACATTTTTATTTTGAAAAGCTGCATATAGTAGTAGTTCAGTTTTAACGAATTTGAGTGTCAAAAATGAACGTGGAGCGTGAACAAACTCAAGCAATATATATGAACAAACTAAAAGTTCAATATCTAGAGAGTTTTTTTTTTTTTGAACAAGAGAACGATACATTAGGTGAACAAAAAGGGAAAAATCTCAATCCACACCGAAATGACAAAAACTGACAAAGATAATAGGATAGAAATTAAAGTCAGTAGCAACCTAACACATAGCACTTAGGAAAAAGGGTCGTAAGAAAAGTATAAAATAATTAAAGGGTTGGGTATCAATTATAGTTTTAAATCGTAATTGATTTTAAAATTTTAATATAACCCTACCACAAAACTCAAACCGACTTCATTCAAATTATCCCCAAAAAAACAAGCGCCAAAGGAATAAAATGTAAACAAAAGAAAAACACTCCCAAAATAATAAGAAAAACAAAAACATCACACGAAACATGATAAAATACTCTTCGTTATTGTATTAACAAATCAAAGAGATAAACTTTGATAATCTTCTCATACTACTCTCTGTATCGATCCTATCATTAATAACAAAACAAAAAGACTAACAATATTCTTAATTCAAAATCTATTCATCGATCGTGTGCTTTGACGAAGAAGAGCTCTATCTCCGGAGGAGCAAAGAAAACGATCTGTCTCCGTCGTAACACGCAGTTTTGTGGGACCCTTTGCTTCTTCGGCGCCGGTGGACACGTCAGAATCTCCGGTATCCGAGACTTTTGAGCTTTCGGGGTACAACAGCCGCCTGGTGACGTCAGCACCTCTGGAGAAGGAGAGGGTACAGATTCGTTTGTTTCTTGAGGAGAAAACGACGTTGTTGCGGAAGAAGAACACGAAGAGACAATAGTAGATGAAGAAGTGTGTTCGATAGTAGTAGTTTTGTCGGCGGTGTTGTTGTTGTTGTGTTGTGGAAGTTGTTTCTTGAAATGGGTTCTTTTGAGTTTCTTCTCAGCTCGGTTTGGTTTTCTTGCCTTTTTTGATGCCATTTTAATCGAAAGAGGATTTTTCAAGAAAAATATTAATAGGAAGAGGTGTGAGGTTAGGTGAGAGAAAAGAGAGCGAGAAGAAGAAGAGAGTCGTTGCCTATTTGCTTAGTTAGCATATATAGTATGAGACACGAGTCAACACGTTAGTGGGAGGGTGTCACTTTAAAGTTTCTAAATTTTGACTACCTAAAGTTTTCACTGAGACGAACCAAATAAAAAGTGATGGACTGATATTTAAAAAGGTAAAAAGATTTCTTTCTTTTTCTTTAAGGATCAACTGCATGTAGTTTACAAGTAAGTCTGACCAACAAAATGGGTCGTGTATTTTTATTTGCCGTTTTTAAAGACTAAAAGCGTAAGCATTAATAGGCTTTGACTAGGTTTAAAAAGTAGAGTAATTTGTTTCACTTGACAATAAATTTTACTACTACAAGTTATGCTTTTGTTTTCACCGATTAAAAAAGGGAAAGACACAAAAAAAATAGCTTTGTTTTGCTGATAAGTGAAAATTGGGTAGTTGCAAAAGAAACTTTTTCGCTACAAAACTTATGAAGAAAATATTCACCGTTTTTTGTTTGTTTTCCTTTTGATTTTCTACTCTAATATTTTCATCAGTCAAAGCTGAAGAATCAAAGAACCCATATGAATATGAAATAAATATACTGTATATAGCAATTGCTCCAAGATATATAATACGAAGCTTTATACTGTTGAACTAATAATAAACCGCAAACCTTTGTAAGAAAAAGAGTTGAGTACAAAAAAAGACCTCAGGAAAAGAAAAAAAACATAAAACAAGCATATCTTTGTAAGGTAACATACATGATGTCATAAATTCAGGTTTACAGTGGTACTGGTGCACATACTTGACTCTTTGACAATTCACAAATTCACATGGTGACTGTAAAATTTTGGAAGTAGTAAAACATTTCTATTAAAAATACATAAATGGTGTCGGACGAGAGAAAGAGAGAGAGAGTTTATACTGACGGACCCTCCCCCCAAAAAGGTTAAATTATTTGGATTTGGATGCACATAGGACCCGACAGCGACAAACGAGAAAATTGACCTTTTTTTTCTATTTTAATTAGTTTCTTATTTTGCATTTTTTGAGTAGATGAGGTTATTATTATATATCTACGTTTTCTGCCGTCCAAATAGTTCAGAATGTGAGACTTAGAAAGCCAACAAAATGATCACATAACACTTTCTTCTTAATTTTTTTTTAAGCATGCAGAAGATGATTCTTAGTCTTACATGATATAGAGTAGACAGATCTAGGTGTTGAAATTAGTGAAGATTTAAAACAATGTAGAGTCCTGCTGCATTACACTATAATAAAAGGAAAACATCTTAGTTGATAAAAAAATGATATTTGGGAAAATAAAAAGATAAAGTTAACACAAACTTTGATGTAGGAAGGAAAGAAAGAAATCACGTGGACTGACATGCAAATTCAATGTATATAAGTATAACTACAAATATGGGTTTGAGTACAACCCCAACTAACTCTTTCCGATTTTAGTTGAGAGGTATGGTTGTACCAGTTTTAGAAACAACAATGCTATATTTAAAAAGAAAAGAAAATTTGGATTTTAATAATTAAAGTTACAAGTGAAGAAACCTTTTTTAAAACCCCAAAAGTACATGAATATGCGAGATTAGCTCCTGTCATGGGATCCTAAACATAGGATTCACAATGCAAATCGGCAATTAAGATTCTCATACGTCTTAAGTGTTCACACAGACACATATATAAAGGAGTTTGTAACTTCTTTCGTTCATTTTAGTTTCGTTACAAAAGTATTTCTTATATTATAAGATCATCATATTACGTACAAGCACGTTTAAGTTGACATTTCGAAAATGTTTACAAAAGTTAATACAAATAATAAGAAAACCGAAATTACGCTATGTTTCTTTTCAACAAACCTTATTCAACTAACAATTCAAATCAATTTAGTATATGTAACTCTTCTTCGAAAAAAACTTTTAAATCTGCGGGACCATCGATTTCCACATGTTAATGCTTTCTCAAAATCCAACCTCACATTATCATCATCACTTAATGGCCAACATAACATAGTGTGGTATTGCAAAATAATTACTATTCGCGACTGCTTCCATCTCTGACTTTTCTATTATACAGTTTCTCTTTTCAATAACGGTACACTTCATGACATATAGTGGAAGACCTCAAACTTAAGACTTTGGATTTGTATTTATTTCTTTTGGTTTACATATTAACATTTTTTTTTAATCCAATTGACTTATAAAGCCCGACAACAGCATGCGTACCAACGCATAACCATTATGAATAAACCGACTCAATCATCGAATATGACGAATTTAGCGGCAAAGAAAAACACAAACCAGATACAAACGAGAGAAAAAGAAGAAGATCATCTCCATCCTTCGAAGTGCTTTCGAGAAGACTATGATTTGGTAGCATAGGAGATCGGATAGTATTAGCAAAATTTTAGAGCATTCAATAAGAACATTCAGAGAAAAGAGTAAACTGTGTTATATTTTAAAATGGATACGGTTTTGCAATCATTTTTTATTATTATTAAAAATGATCAATACTTGTTATTGTGAGTATAAACAGTTTAATTTAAATAATTGTCAGACTCCCTTACAGATGTTTGTGCAAAAAAAGCAGAATGACAAAAGACAAGGTGTAGTTTTCAATTGGATAAACCCAAAGCTTTTTCTGCTTGCATAGTAACATTTCCAGAATCGAATAATAAATGCTAACAATTATTATGATCCAGACGTACATTTTATTTTTCTTTGATATTATTGCATGGTCTGCTATATAATTTTCAGAAGTGATAGTAGAAGTGAAATAAAAGGCAACGAAACAAAATAAACCTAACAACTATTCCACCATTGTAATTATACATATATGTCCAGTGGTTTTGGCCTTTTACCAATAAAAATGTCTGAAGTACTGTCTAGAAAAAAAGAAAATCAAAGACAGGAAAATATATATACAGAGAAATGCTCTTCTCACCAAAAAAAACTATCATATTCAATGAAGACAAATTGCCTTTTTCCAAGTCTGTTTACATAATAAAACACTACAAGGAATCCAAAAAGATTTGTCTCTTCAAGGTTTCTGTCGTTTCTAAACCACATGTTCTCACAGACTTAATCAAAAGCCTTAATGTTACAAATCCAACAACAAGGGTTCTTACGATAACAAACGCGAGTGAATCAAAAGACAACTCAGCACCCCCCATTTGATTCAAAACTTACTATATTGATGCAGATTGCTTTGGAAATCTCCACCAACGCAACGCAAACCAAAACCTAAAGAATTGATAAAAACTAGTACACCTGACTAGATAGTACATCAAAACCGGAACCATGAAAAGCGTTGAAATTCTGATCTTTCCGAGAGAATCATTTAGAAAGAAGAAGGGTATGCAAAGTACCATGACAAGTGGTGTGGATCACCTTCCTCTTGATAAACCCTCGTCTAACTCCTCAATCGATGAAGGAAACAGCTCTATGTAACGGCTCCCAAGCGTCTTCCTGTCCTTGACCATCGCAGCTCTCGATTCATCTGCGCTCCCAAACTCCACAAACGCCTCTCCGGTAGGTCTCCCTTCAATATTGACGGTGACATGAACAGAGTCTTCAGACAGATCAAAGTCTCTGAAGAAGTCAAGTATGTCTTCCTTCCCTGCTGAGAAAGGTAACCCTCTCAGCCTCAAGATACCCGTATGCTCAGCATTCTCCTTCCCGTCATCACTCGACCTCGCCCTCTGCGAGTTTCTTCGAGGCGAAAACCCTCCTCCACCGCTTCCTCTTCCACCGCTGCCTCCTCCTCCTCCACCTCCACCGTCAACACCACCAAGACCACCTCCACCACCGCCAGTAGCTACACCATGGATACGAGACTCCGCAACCTCGCTAGCAATAGCCTTATAGTACTCTTGTTTCGTACTCCTGAAAACCTCCACGTATCTCCTTCCCATGTTCTGCCTGTTCTTATGGAGTGCGAAATCGACCTGGAGGGGATAACCCAGAACGCAAAAGGCTTCCCCGGTGAGCTTGTTGTTCTTGTGAACAAACAAGACATCAACCACATCTAAGCCATGGAAGAACTCAACCACGTCGAGCTCGGCGCAATCAAAGGGAAGACCACGGAGACGAACCACAGGGAACGCAGGAGGAGGAGGAGGAGGAGCAACGAATCCGTAAGGGTTATACATAAAGCCAGAACCAGGATGAGCTCCATAGAATGGCCCTGGAGGACCTTGATCGACCATTCTCTGACGCTTAGGTCCCATTTCACGCCCATCAGGACCATCTCCATATCTACATTCACCACAACAAAATTACAGCTAAAATTAAAATACTTTCTGTTGGAATCAACAGTTTCTTCAATTTTGTTTCAACCTAAAGCAAGACTTCCTACACCATTCGGAGAGATTGCAGGGCGAAAATTTCCGATCAAACGGAACAATTTAAGGAAATCGAAACGGATTAAACTCCAAAAGGAGCTGAATTGAAGTGATTCTGTGTATGAATCGAACCCAATAACTTAAAAACCCTAATTGCGAAAACTAATGTAATCAAATCATTGACGAACAAAATCGGAGATAGTCTGGGGCTTACCCTCTGTAGAACATTGTCGCCGGCGCAAACTATCTTCGGCGTCGCCTTGTGTGGATGGTCAAATCGATTGGAAATTTCTGATTTTGAACCTTCGAATTTCGAATCGTGCCTTAGAAATCTCAGCTTAACGGAAGAAGCGTTTAAATTAAAACTTTGAAGATGGAAACTGAAAAAAAAATGGAAAATAAAGCTGAATTGGGCTATTGGTCATGGGCCTTTACGGCTTTACACATAACGATCTTGCGGATCAACTTTGTGAGAATATTTTTACAGTATATATATCACTATATTGTCTATAAAACTAACTAGAGTACGCTTACGACAACAGTCGCTTTGGCCGAGTGGTTAAGGCGTGTGCCTGCTAAGTACATGGGATTTTCCCGCGAGAGTTCGAATCTCTCAGGCGACGATGTTTTTTTAGCGAATCTCTCAGGCGACGATGTTTTAACTAGGGGTGGACACTTCCGTTTCTTCGGTTTTACGAAAATTCAAACCATATAAAAGCTATATATATTTTGGTTCGGTATAGTTTGGTTTTTTTTGGTTCGGTTTGATATGGTTTGATTTCGATTTTTTGAAATTATACTATTACAAAAGTTTTTGATTCAAAGAAATAATAATAATAGATATGAGTGAAATAAAACAATAAATCCAAAAAATAGAATTTAAATCATAAAAAATTTATCAATAATGATAGATTTTCAAACAGAGAAACAAACAAATTATCAAATCTTTCATAATCAATAATTATAAAACAATAAAAAAATATAGATTAAAATTTAATACCTATAACTTTGTAACTAGCACTAGAAGACTTGAATGTGAAGAAAATAAAGTTAATCATATTTTCTTTATTGAAAAATTAATGTTTACTTTATTATTTATATATAGATATTTTTTATAAATATTATGAGTTAAGTTAGTAAATTATAAAGATAACTAAGCCAAATAATAAAATATATACCTAAACTAAATTAAGAAACTAGGAAAATATAAATTATTTAAATTTTAGTTTTAAAACCAAAATTTTTTTTTGGTTTGACGGTTTTTAACCAAACTAAACCTAAACAAAAACTATAAAAAAATAATGGCCAAATAGATTTTTAGGTTTAACCATAACCAAACCATATTACTTTTTTCGGTTCTGTATGGTTTAATTTATTCGGTTATGGTTTTTGTGCTCATCCTAATTTTAACTTTTTTAGCCCTATGTTTAACCGTGATATTAATCAACGAGCTGAATCTGTTCGCCTTAAAAGGCTTAAACCATGTGTGTAAAATGAATAGACTGAGTTTTTTGGATAGACCATTCTCTTTGATTAATATTCATTTTACAAACACAAATGCTTTAAGGAAAAATAATTTAAGTTGTATGCTTTTTCTTCCTTTCTTTGTTACGGGGTGACGGGGTGTCAATTTTTTTCTTTTTCTTGAAAAATGTTACAATTCCATATTCTAAATTGTTTATGAAACTAGGGATGTTTCTGCGCTACGCGCGAATTTTTTTTATAAATATTTGATTATTATTTAAAATAAATTATTTAATCATTAAACTAATATTTTAAATATAATATTTAATTTGCAATATTTTTGACGTGGTTATAGATCTAAAATTTTTAATCTATTTAAAAAATATATTATGATTTAATTTAAACATTTACTAACTTGGTATAAGTGAAAATTAACTGTTAATCTAAAATTTAATATTTCGATATAAACTCATACAATAGCTTTCAAATTATTATAAAAATTAATTTTGTTTTAACTAAATTTGATATATAATTGAATTCAGCAACAATAAGTTTTCTCTTTATTTAATTTTAAATAAAAAAAATAACTTATAAAACATATGACTACAACTGAAGCACCTGATTATTGTTTCAATTAATTTGTATTTCTTTTTATTTCAATTATATACGTGTAATTATTTTTTTTATTAGCAGTCTCAAATACAAAACAACAGTCAATATTTAAAAATCTTACAAATCCTTAAAAGAACTATTGTTCATATAAATGAAAAACCATTTACATAGTATACAAAATTACAATCATATTGATAAACTACAATTTTGATTTGATCTCTGAAGCATCTATAAACTATTGAATTTGAACATTTACATTTATCATATACAAATAGAGTATCCTTAATATACAATATTAATCATATATTAAACATATAAAATGTTTTGTGTCCACATATGTATAATACAGTTATGTTAAATTTTTAAAAAAATATTTATTTGTTATGTATATACTATGTTTGTTTGTAAAAAACGAATGTTTTAGATTTTTCTTAATTTTGAATATTTTTAATTTTGTTTTAAAAATTACTATTTTGTAACTTTGTTTCTATTGAATGTTATTTAAGTCTTTTACAGCAATTTGTTTTCTAAAATATTTTATGTGTATTTTAAAAAAACTAAAATGATAGTTTTTATTATTGTGTGGGCGGACTTCATATCTCATAATATTATATGTTATCGATTTTTAGTTTAAACTTTTGATTATTATTAATTTAGACTGTAAGAATTTTATTATTAAACATATAACTAAATTTTCTTTTTGTTAAAGTTAGGTTATATGTCATATATTTTTTGTTACTACAATATATACAATTTAATCAATATTCAAGTATTACTATTACTGTTGAATAAATACTATTTAATTTTAAGTATATTATAAATATATTAAAGAATTATTTTTATTAGAAGTCTGCTGATGTGGCAAGATTATAGAGAGGTTTTTTTTGCTGACGTGGATGGCTTAAGGAGCCCCAAATAGTTCCTTTCATTTAGTATAAATTTCATAAATGTTACCATGGTGTACTCCAAATTTGACCAGTAGATTTGAATTGAAAACTCATTAAAACAACATAATGGCCAATCCCGAAACTAAGAGTTTAGAAAAACATATATACTCCTGACGCAAACAGACAAGAATATACGTGTGTACACACGCATACATAAATAAAAGAAGAAATTCACATGAGGTGCATATATAGATAAAAATGTCTGAGAAGAAACAACAAAGGATACAAAAAGACAAGAGAGGTTGAAAGAACGCACTTATTAATACAAGCATGGAGTCCACCAAACTTATAACACACGATTTCAAGATCTGCAGCTTCAATAGATGATGGAGGAGTTGCTGAATGATTCCACAATCAGCACTTGAACAAGACAACTTGATTTCACAAGTGATCTAGAGAGGGGGGGAGGGAACGAAAGCACCATAGAGAGTATGGGAGATTCTCTGATAAAGCAAAGCTGGCACAGCTCTAAGTGATTCCACACAAAGAACAACAGCAAAAGACTGAATAAGAACAATCTTGTATAAGAACAAAAACAGGTTTATTTTATTAATCAAAAGTTGAATAATACAATGCTGCGAGAGGGGACTTTATAAACAGTCCAAACAGCTATGCCCTTCTAGGGGACTTTGAAACAAATTACAATGAATGAAAACTATATTATTGGTGCTAATTTCGTGGCTAACAAATGCCTTAACTACTGAATAAATCAAAATAAAAGCTAGACCAAAAGAAGATCACAAAAGGAGAGAAACACAAGGAGTTAGTCAATAATTCAAATAATTGAAATACTTACCTTAACAGCTTGTGGACGTGTAATCAAGTAAGGAAAGAGTATTTGCTGCCTCCATTCTCCTTGGCCAAAAACTCAAAACAACAAGACTTTCAAAGAAAACTACAAGGCATTTAAAATACAAGAAAAGGAAAGTTTGCTAAAATAAAAACAAAACTATCTAAATTATTTCTATCTTTACTGAGTTTTGAACCGTGGCCTCTAGCAGCTCTAAATACCACTGTGACATTGTGGATTACTTGCACAAATTCATAATGAAAAGATCTTACCCGATTTGTACTCAAATGGCCTGGTTTTGAAGCTGGAATGTTCAGGGAGAATATTAGTCCGTTCAACTTGGATTCTTTGATGAATTCTTCCTCTTGAGTCTTCTTGAAGTCAGAATGGTTAAAATCTTTAAGTGTTTCCTCGTAGTTATCTTTATTTTTTACTTCTTGTTTCATTTGTTCTCTATTGGCTTCATAGCTTATTTTAGGGATATCTTAAAGCTCCGAAATTATCTATGAGAAATTCTTGGTCCTGTCAAGTAAACATTCTTACCTTGTTTGGTACGAGGCTGAACCTTCTTGATCCTTGAAAGTGCAAAATTCATCTTTATGTCTAATTCAAGTGCCTTGGAGCTCTCTTGATAGAAACATGGTCTGATGACCTCATCAGTTATGCAATTACAAAAAAAAAAGGTTCAAATTCAAAAATACACACACACACTCGTGCTTGCTCGGGAACATCTCCTGCTTCGTTTATTTACTCGTGCTTGCTCGGGAGTATATACTAGTATTTGTTAAACTAATTAATACTCCTAAAACAACATGTCTTCTATTAGACGTTTGGCGCCAATCTTTTCGAGTTCACACGTTGCGGCCGCTCCATTTTTTCTGTTCAAACCCACTAAAGTTGACCCAAAAGAACAAAAACTTCATAAAAACATTTTGACACAATTGAACTCTTTATAAAAGAATAACTTATTGATCATAGAACTATGCTTTTAAAAAAGTATTACCAAATCTTCTGATCAAAATCCACCGTCAAAATATGAAGAACATAGAGCTCAAGAACATAAACAATGAAAAGACTGGAAAGGTCGAATGAAATTTGATCATAGTCTCGACTAGAGCAATTACCGCTATTTTTTCAGTAGAAAATATTTGTAATAGTATTAGAAACTCTAAAAAATACGAATACTAATATATATATTTTGGAGGAATAGAAAATATGAATACTAATATATATATATATATATAATAGATTGGCCGGTATTTATATTATATTTTGAAAGAATAGAAAAAAAATAAAATAGAATTTATTTTTTTTTCAATTTCAAAAAAGTCACGCGAACATAACACAAAGATAGATAAAATGGTATGCAGTATTCGAGACTATTTTTATTATATAAACTATATAAACTCAAATTCACTAGTCTAACTCTTTAACATGTTTTAGGAATAAAAAATTGTTGACAAAAAATTATATATATTAGCAATATAACACATCTTTAATATGTGATAACGCCATAACGACAAATTACTTTATAGTCTATGTATGTCAACATTTAGGTGATCTTATGAATCTAGTGGTTTTGTAGTAGTCGGTTATCTTATTACTCGGTGTATAACATCTGAAAACGCTAGGGAAAGTTGCATTTTAATAATTACATTTTCCTTGTAATATTTCATTTGATTTTACTACTACATATGTCAATTGATAAAGATTTGGAGTTCCCAAGTAATATGTTTCTGAAGCCGAGCCGACATATAGATGAGGCCACCAACGCAAGTGCTGTCTTAGATCACGACCGTCTCTGTTTCCAATGCGATCAATCTACCCACAAAACCAAAAAATGTTTATCAACTCTTGATTCTATGCTTCATATCTCTCTCTCCAAACGTTTTGTAATTCACTGTTAAACATTAAAGGAGACAAACTTTTATCCTTGATTCCCGATCTTGTCCATTTTATTTGATCCTTTCCATACTCTGTCTGATTAATGGACTATTATTTCGTTTGCTCAGGGATTCAAGCTATTATCGGCATCGAAACTCAAAACTAGTAATCAAACAACAATACATATGAACATACAACATTCAGCCCAAATCATCTTATGATTTAATAAAATCTATTAATGATTTAATCAATAGATTAGAAAAGTAGGTAATATGATGTATTGCAGATTAGCGATTAGTTAGTTTACCAATCTTATGAAGAAAAAAAATAGATTGTCATTAATAACGTTATCCAAAAATGGAAATAATTTTAATATAATCTTACGACTATATAGTATATATAGATTGATTTTCATATGTTGATTAAATATATTCATATTTACGACTATAACGATTTAATAAACATGAATCGAAGAACACTAAAACATGTACATTTAGTCTTCTCCACAACATCATCGAAATATGTACAAGTAGATGATATTGAGGCGCATTCCCTTTGGAAGGTCCCTTAATATACAAACGCTTCCTTGTTTACCCGATCTTAGATATCCACTACTTTGTGACAAGAAATTGCTTACATGGTTGTTTCATAAAAGATTTAATAATTGACTTTATTTTAATAAATACATGCGTGCACTTCGAGTCCCAAGATAGTAAGTTTCCTTCTCCCCTCTTCAAACTTTCTCTTTGTTTCTTTTCTCCCTACCATTTTCTCCGTACCCTTTCTCTTTAAATTATATTATATCCGCTATGTCTACCGCTTTGTCACATCGCAAACCTTATATATATACACACATGTCTGTATTACTGTATACACACTCATACACACACATTCACATATTGATATATACATGCATATCTAGCTTTCTTTGCTCTCTAAGTCTTCACACAAACCACATCATCTAGAGATATCGTGCCTTCTTCTTATTCTCTCTGTCTCCTCTCAAAGTAATGTCTGATCCAGCTCCTATCTTTAACAATGGATATGTCGACTACTATGACTATAGCTTCAACTACGCCAATTCCCTCTCACACATCTACGACTCTCATGGTAGCTTCTATTACCCTCATAATACCATAAACCCAATCATCAAGGCAGAAAACCCTAATACTACTTTACCCGACTCTCCTCTACTCAGAGAAGCACTTCCTCTCCTTAGCTTAAGCCCCATTCATAAGCATCAAGAACCTATTGTTCAGCCTCATGAATACCATTTCATGGAGACTACCGAAACTTCTTCTAATTCAAACTGTCTTGATCATGATGATCTTGATCAATGGCAAGAAACTTATCATCATGATGTAACCGTGGATCTTCATCTAGGGTTACCAGACCTCGGTGGCGATGTTATTGCCTACGGTGGTGGTGGGAGCAGCAGCAGCGATGTCATCCTTGATTCTACCAACCAAGAGCATGATCATAATCACCATCAAGATAGTCGTCAATATGAAGGAGTAGAAGTTACTCTTGCTTCTGATCATGATGATGATGGTCATGGTGGTGTACAAATGGTTAATCATCATCACTATTGGATCCCCACTCCTTCTCAGATTCTGATGGGTCCTACACAGTTCTCTTGTCCTCTCTGCTTCAAGACCTTCAACAGATACAACAACATGCAGGTACATAAGGATATATTCATCCAATAAACCTAACTCTAATTAGGTCCTACTTTCTCCAAAATGATTTTCAAGATTTGATTTTTTTTGTTCTTGAAAAATGGATCTCAATTTATTTACTTTTTTCTTGTAAATAATAAATCTCGTTAATCTTATCAAATCTTCATCATGAGAAAATCTCTTGCACACACACTACGACTTTTTTCCCTAATAATTGTTACTAGAATTAAATCGAGAATAACTTTTCATTTGATGTTACAAGTCATCAGCTGTACGATGCATTGATTGATGGCTATGAAAAGATCAACTAAAATCAATCAATGGGCCTTTATTAAAAAAAAATCAATCAATGGGTTTAAAGGCAAGAAGATCTTCTTTAACCAATAGTCTTTTTTAGACCGACTCCATCTAACCCTTAAATATGATTAGTCTTCCTCTTCCATTTTTGTTTTTCTCTAGATTTTTGCGCAGCACAACACTCATTACCCTAAAGAGTAAAAGAAAAAGGGGAAGATAAATAATGTCTTGCAGAGTTTTTGTTTTTGTTTTTTATACCTCTTTTATATCTCTATACATTACATAGATTTATTCTATGATATTTTATTCCTAATAAGTATTAGCCCTATGCAATCATACAGGGGTAGTAGATCTCAGTCTCATATATACGCTTTGTGCTAATATAGACACAAAAGAGTGATCTAAAAGTACATGATTTACTAATATGATTAATTACAGTAAAGACACACAAATTCATAATCATTGGGTCTAGAATTACACGATTTAATTGATAAATATTATATGTATGATGTTTGTGCAAGTCTTATTACATAATGTTTACGTATTCCATTGATCTCTTTGCTCATTGCACAAATTTACATTCTAACAGTTCATTCGGAGATTAGTTTTGGAGTTTATTCTGAAATCTTTTTTTAACATAAAACCATATAAATATTTAAGCTACGCGCATAGCTTGAAGTAATTAACGTTACACATGTTTTTATTTTGCCGGAATTAGATGCACATGTGGGGACATGGCTCACAATACAGAAAAGGACCGGAGTCACTAAGAGGGACACAACCAACGGCGATGCTGAGGCTGCCTTGCTACTGCTGCGCACCGGGCTGCAAGAACAACATAGACCACCCGAGGGCAAGGCCGCTCAAGGACTTCCGTACGCTTCAGACACATTACAAGCGGAAACACGGTGCGAGGCCTTTTGCTTGTCGTAGATGTGGAAAGGCTTTTGCGGTCAAAGGAGACTGGAGGACGCACGAGAAGAACTGTGGGAAGCTTTGGTATTGCTCATGTGGCTCGGATTTCAAGCACAAGAGGTCGCTTAAGGACCACGTCAGGGCCTTTGGCAATGGTCATGTCCCTTGTTTTGGCATTGATTTCTTCGGCGATCATGAGGACGAGGAGGCTGCTTCCGATGTCGAACAGCAAGAGTGATCGTATTTTTTTTGCTTGGGATTATTATTTATGGGAATAGCTGAAGCCTTGACTGTTTAAAGGTCGTCGTTTAAAGTTTTAGCACGTGTCTTATTTCATATAACTAATCTAAGGTCTTCGTTTAAAGTTTTAGCACCCATCCACAATGGTAAACCTCACTTGGAGATTCTTAATATATTTTATTATTAAATATATTATTAATTTAAGTTAAGAATTTTATTAAGTTTTTTGTAATTTTAAGACTTACATTGGAGAGATTTTATGGAATTCTTAAATAAAATAATTTTTTTTACAAATTTACAGAAAATGAAAAAAAAAATCAAAATATTATTAATAAATATCTTTAAGCAATATTTTTTGCTTCTCAATCTGAGTATTTCAAACATTTATTTGAAAACCAGAAAATCAAGAACTTCATGCAGCTAATGGCACGATCCATAACAAGTTCCAGCGAAAAAAATGCAAGACTTACTTCGTGTATCGCCGCCTTCGCCATGTAAGACATACAATAGCTCCATGTTGTCTTCTCAATATATCCCAGGACTCTGCCCGTAAGAGCCCACAGCCAACATTCCAGAATTGGTTGGAGAGAAAGCAAGAGTAGATAATATACCTGCAAATTATAAACCAGTTTACAGTTTTGTTCTTAGTTTATACATAATCTGAAACAATAATACTATTACGAGTGGTAATCCTCTCCAATTTGACATAAGCTGTTTTATTCTCTTTGGTGATAATTTTTTGGTCTATGATCGAATAAAGGATCGATTTAGCCAGTAAGAACCAGATTCGTGATGAAAATCGAGTGAGTTGCTTCATGAATCAAACCAAATTGTAGAAGAAACAAAATTCGTAATAAATTGGAGATCGATTCGAAAACGAGAGAGTGGAGAGTAGAATGAAACCTTTAAATACGATCCAACGCTATAGATTTTGTCGAGCTCGAAATTCTCTCCAACATCTCCATATAGATTAGTACTCTTATATTAAAAATCTATAATTTAGCCTTTATCATGAAACTACGTTAAAAGAAGTCATTGAGAAATGTTCAAAAAAAAAAAAAAAAAAGTCATTGAGAACAATTGACATTAAATTGTTCTTCATATAATGCTCTAAGTTCTTTTAATTCTCGATATGGAATTCTAACATACACTAGTACTATCTTCGTTCTTGCAAATTTAAATGATACATATATACAAACCAATTGAAAACTAGCTACAAGTATGAGTTCAAACTTTAAAGTAATTAATTGACCTGTAAAACCTTACTCACTCTCTCGCTTTTCTCTTAATATTACTATCTCTCTCTATTTAGAATTTTTAGTAAAAAAAACCTTCATATTCGAATACGCAACAATTTTTTTTTTCTTTAATATCCCTTAGAATTTAGTTCTAGAGATGAAAAGGAAAAATGAAATATCCATTACGTACCATTTACACAAGGTTAGAACATCTCCAATCTACCTTTATTTTAGAGGAAAAAATAGAGTTTAGAGGAAAATTCTCTCCAATCCACTTCTATTTTTTACCTCTAAAATAGATGTTGCTATATTTCACTCTATATTTGGAGGAACTCTATTTGTTCTTCTATAATAGAGATGCACTTTTTTATTTATAAACCGGTCCCTTAACTTTTACATCTTTTTATTTTTATTTATATAACAAATAAAAAGTTAAATTAAATATTTTCATAATCTAGTTTGTATATATCCAATAAATAGCCATATATCTAACATATAAATTTAATTAAATTATAAAATGTTATCTAAATTTAATAAAATTTAATAAAATCAACATCATTTCAGACAATAATTATTATAGAAAACAGAAAATATTATTTACTTTAATTAACTATATAATTTATAAATGAAAGTGGTTAATCCACGATAAAAAAATGAACATGAATAGCAATATAGTATACACATGTACAATAATACGTCAATACAGTTACATTATACAGTTTTGTATGTTATTAAATACAAAAACCCAATAAATAAATAAATTGAATAATTTTTGTTATGGTTTGAAAAAATTGTGTGAACATACAATATAACTAAATTGGAAAATTCTCATTTATTTCAAACTAAATTATAAATAAAATGATAAATTACAATAATATTTTAAAAATACAGAAAATTATAGAAAATGATAAATACTATAGTGATTTAATAAATGTTTTGAAAATTATGAAAAATTACAAATACTATAGTCATTTTAAATTTTGTTTTATGAAATAAATGTTTAATTTTAATATATTTTTATTATTTATGGAAATTTTTGTAAACAATAATATAAATAGAGTTAATTTGTGAAATTTATGAAAAAGGTGTTAATAATAAATTATAAAGAAAATATTCTTAAAATATTCCTTTTTAGAGGAAAAAATAGAAGAACGTATTGGAGAGAAGTGCACCTCTATTATAGAGTTCCTCTATTTTAGAAGAAAAAATAGAGGAACACATTGGAGATGGTCTTAGTGTGTCTATCATGTGCATATATAAGTATAAATTCTTTCTTAGTGATCTTTTCTCCTTCAGTCTCATCTTCAGTTTGATTTCCATTCTTGACACTCTCTCGTGCGTATATACAAACATATATTATGATTATTATCACAAACTTATACACACATATATTAAAGAAATATTATTGGTTCATATATTTTGTTAATTTAAAATTGATTCCTAAATATAACATGTGAATTTTAATTAATATTTATAAATTTATAGATTTTATCTTGAATTTTAGTGTTTCTATTTTTATCTGGAATTTTTTTCCAAATCAACTAAAATTCTGAAAAATTGCTAAAAAAAATTAAAATTAATTGTGAAATCAAAACCATAATTTTAAAATTATATAACTAATAAACACATGATTTGAATATAAATTTTAAAATTCTAAAACCAATAATAATAAATTTAGCAAAAAAATTTAAATTTATTTGAATAAAAAATCAATACTCACTTGATTTTTTCTCATTACAGCTCTTTTCTTTTTCTCCCAGAGCTGGTTATATAACCATAGCGCGACCTAAGCTTACCAATCAGAAGTTTTACTTTTGACTAAAAAAGTCTCTCTAAACCAGAAGCTAGCATAGCTACACATTCAAAAATTATGAAAAATAAAAATGCAATTTTACTGTAGATCAACAATAGAAAGTTTAAAGATTTTTAGATTTTGTTTCTTTAAAAAGCTAAAAATGTGACATGTTGTGAGACTTTAGATTCACGAGTCCAATTTATTTCAGAATCAAACAATAATTAATGAGAAAGGTAAATTTTGAGGAAATTATATTTTTGAAAAAATATTTTAGAAAAAATGCTGTAAATGACAAATATGAAATTTGAAAATTTCAAAAAAAAATCAGAAAATATATAATTGGTATACAGTTTTAGACTTTTAAAAAAAAATCAGAAAAATTTTAAAATCTGACATATTTCTTTTTGTTCGAACTGATTATGCATATCTCTCGAACCCAGACATAACAAAATCTTACTATAGATAAAAGAAAAATCTATAAAACATTAAAAAAATAGAAAAAAAGAAGTTCAAACTTCAAAATAACTGACCTGCAAAATCTACAAGGGGAAGTTTGAACTCAAATTATGCAGTCTCACTTTTTTTCTCAATATGTATTACTGTATCTCTCTTTATTTAGAATTTCTAGTGATTTTAGTTTGTAACAAAAATTTTAAAAAATCTTGATGAAAAGAATAAAATATAGTTTTCTTTACTGAGTTTAATTTGTAACAAATTAATTTTCATTTTATGATTACAGGAATACGCTATTTTAATTTTGCTAAAGTATAAATATGATATCAATAATTCTAATTACATAATGTGTTATATAACTTTCATAAATATCCTCCAATAGATTTCATAATGTATTAATTCTCTTTTACCAGTCAAATATTTTATATTTTATTAGATCATCAGTTTTTTTATATAGCAGCTAAGCTAAGGGACATAAGTTTACCAAATCGAAGTTTTGGATCCTTTTCATAATTTTATGAAGTTTTACTAACTGTTTTAGAAATTAAAATTGGTTTACCCGCTTGTAGATGGTGCTCCGGGTTATATCGACCCGAGATAAATCCGGGTCAACATAAACCAGGGGACAGGGAAACGAGAAAGATGATGAAAGTTTAGGTAAACGAGAAGCACGCAAGGGTCAGGCATATTATGCTCTCACTAGGCTAAGAATTTGAAGAGAAAAGCTATGGATTAGGGTTTTTGAGATTCCAGTCTTCATCGATTAACCCTCAAAACTATCTCTTCCTTCGGATTCAGATATTCTCCTCGTCTCCCGTCTTTATAGTCACACATTCTTCGTCTTCTCCATTTCTGAAGTCGACTAAGGAATTTACTTGGAATCATCAGAAATTAGCTCCTGTTCAAATCCTGTTAGATAAATCGATGGATTCCCAGATGCTCGTGGCGCTTGGACTATCTCTCGTTGGGGGATTAAGTACTTCGTTAGGTGGGTCAAAAAAATTCATCATTTTCTGTGAAAGTGTTTGCTGAATTTTCAGATTGTGTCAGATAAGTTTATATGGTCTTAGAATCAGGATTCATTGTTTCCGATTGCTTAAATTGATGAATGATTGTTATTTTCTGGAGCTCCATTTCTGCTTTTATTGACTATCATCTTTAGTAGAACTGTAGCTGTGACCATCAAATTGTTCTGTAAGACTGAATTGTTGATGTTACATATGCAATGCTGATCACAAGATCATGAGGAATTGTGGATCAAGTTTCTTGTTTTTTGTTACTTAGACGATTTTTTCCTCAATTTAATCGAGTTTTCATGTAACTTTTCGTAGGTGCGCTTTTCGTAGTTCTTAGTGACACTCCCAATATGAAGATGCTTGGACTTCTACAGGTATCCCCTTTCCTCTCAAAAATCATACATTGAGGCTTACGGTTTTGTAATACTGGTAAAGCAGAGTTCCCATAATTTTGTAGGTTGCTACATTGTCTTTTTGTTTTTGTCATCATTGGCTA